TAAAAGGTTACTGACTGCAACAAGCTGCAGCACATATTAAAGAAATACTTCACCCACAGAATGATCATTTGTATATCAGGCACTCGATCACCTCATGCTACCATGAATTCAGGAGGAAAATGTTGTTTTTCTAGTATGCTTCCACGGTGAATGAAGAATCCAAAAACATAAAATTCTTGATGAATTGGAGTAAAAGGGGTCCATGTACAACAACAGCAAGTTTATCAAAACATCAGTTTACAAACTCCCACACAACTCTCGCAGTATAATCCAAGTCTCATTTAGGCTCCAATCACACAGAAAGTGTTTTGCAGGTTTCAAAATGCGAGGTGCACCGCACTGCCTTTTTAAAAATTGAATGCCACTAGTGAAAAAAAAAAGAAGCTTGCTGCGCCTCTTTATTGTTGCCAGGCAACTACAGACTCACCTCCTTATTCTAACCTTCCCATGTAGGCCTAATCAATCTACTGTTTATTTATTGTAACTAGTTCCTAAAATGGACAGGCAGAGGGTACCTGCTGTAGCTCTGTACGAGGGTGAGAGGCTGTCAGTAAATAGTTTGTTGCACACAGGGAAACGGAGATCTGTGTGGGTACATGAGACCCTAATAAGGAGGGTGAATCAAGGAGAGTACCACCAGTTGGTCCAGGAGCTTCTCCTCCGTGATGGCTATTTCCAGGCATATTTTAGGATGCCTCGGGGGCAGTTTGACAACTTGCTGTCTAACGTCGGGCCGTATAGCTCTGGGTATCCAGCAACCGCTACCAACTGTAAACTTGTTGTCGTCACCACCACAGAAGACCCGCCTCTCAAATCATCCCATTGGACAATGAGAAAAAAGATGACGAAAAAAGAGGTGATGTGGGGCGTTTTTCCGCTTTGAGTTGAATTTTTTTTCAACTCAACAAGTTCATCGGAATGATCGCTTCATTCTTATTAAAAACAATTACAAAAAGTCACCTTTAGCTGCTAAATCGCTTTCTGTCTGATCAGGGCCTTATGCAGTCGTACTTCCTGAACACGTGCATTTTTGCTAAATCCTTACTGTTTAAAAAGCTTCTGCATAAACAGTCTCACACACTGACAAGTAGGATGCCTGGGCAAGCGCACCACAAACATTTGAACTCAACTCAACAGAATGCATAAGCAGAGTTCAACTACATGCTCTTGCCCAGGTGTGCTACCTGTATGCAGAAACTTTTTAAATACTTTGGTTTGTGTTTGGGAAGTACTGAGCTTACGACTGGATAAATGAGACTTGGATTATACTGACGGAGTTGTGTGAGAGTTTATAAATCAATATTTTGATATAGTTTTTCTGCTGTTGAACATGGACCCCTTTTAATCCAATTCATTAAGAATTTTCTCAGTTTCTGGATTCTTTGTTTGCCATGATGGCATGCGAGAAAAATAAAGATGTCTTCATGAATCCAGCATAACATGAGGTTAGTAACTTACATACAAATAATCATGTTGTGGGTGAAGTGTTCCTTTAAGTATGTTTCATTTGCTGATAAACATCATAAATACAGTGGACAAACTTTATATGAGCTAACAGTGAGGGGCATGCATTTTTACATTCTGTTCAGCTGATGTTTATGATGTTATATAACAGCCTGAATAGTGCTTCAGCTGCTGAGCCAGACATCAATATGCTGCCTTACCTCTCTAAGAACGACCCCCCGCTCTGTTTTTGTTGGATTACTATGCAGACAAGTCACATCAAACATCCGCTCTTAAAAAGCATTTGAATAACGTAGATAATAGATATAATATCTGCCCTGCGCTCTGTCACGTCTAAAAATATCAGCTGGACAGAAAGAAAAAACAGGGACTTTTTTTTTTGTTGTCTCCATCTTCCTGTAAAATGGTTCCCCAGCTTAAAATAAAAATCATTTATTTTATGGTTTTATTTTTCTGCAGAGATGTTTGTGTCATCCTCCTCACTTGTGTGTGCGTGTGTGTGTGTGTGTGTGTGTGTGTGTGTGTGTGTGTGCGTGATAGAGGACCTGTAAAGCTTTGTTTGTTTTTCCACAGTTGAGCAGCTGCTGTATTTGATAGTATGATTGACATATCCTACATTAAGGCAGGGCAGCAACTGGTGTGTTCCTACAGAATGGAATCACATTAATAGTTTATGCTTATTTACAGAAGCTGTATGCACACAGTCGGCAGATTAGGATATATATTTTTCTCCGTGACATAACATAAAGGAGTAAGTGAGAAGTTTTTAGTGAATGCATCTGATATGCCCCTCAGCCAAACACTGAATCCCTGTGTTGCTGCAGTGCAGCTGTTCAGCTGTTGTTGGAGACATTTCTCAGGTGTGAATGTTGGAGTTTCATCCTGCACTGCTGCTGCTGTATGTATGACTGTAATTAGATTCTTGTGTACTTTACATTACTGATAATCATGTTCCAAACACCTCTGAGATACTAACAGAGTCAAAAACAATGATTTTGAACATGATCTATTTACTTATTGTTGAAGTTATCACGTTGTAATAAAGGTGTTGTTAGCAGATTGTGGAGATGGCTTCATGAGTATCTGCCTCAGCCAGGGTTGGAAGAACACATATTTTGCTACAAGTAAAAGTGCTGAATCAAAAATCTACTCAGGCAAAAGTAATAAAGTATTAAGACCGGAATATACTTAAAGCACCAGAAATAAAAGTATGCAGAATGGCCCATTTAATAATAGCATATATTACTGGATTATGAGCAGTGCATTAATGTGTACATCACTTTAATGTTGCAGCTGGTAACTGTGGTGCTCATTTTAACCACTGTATACACTGCCTGCCATCTTAAACTATAATAATATGTGTGATATATGAATTTATTAGCTGTATTTATATTTAGTTTAAATAATCTGAATCTGCAAAGTAGTAACTGAAGTTATCAAATAAAAGTAAAATATTTGCCTTCAAAGTGTAGTGGAGTAGAAGTATAAAGCAGCAGGAAATGGAAATACTCAAGTAAAGTACAAGTACCTCAACAGTTGACTCATGTACAGTACTCGAGTACATAGTTACATTCCACCACTGGTCTGTGAGACGTTTCAGTGCAGCATCTTATTTAAATTACAGGTTTTATACATTCCTCCTCATCGTTTAGTCACCTGTATCTGTATTCTCATCACAGTCAGGTTTCACTGATTCACAGACTGCATCATTAGAACATCAGGTCCACTGGTTTTCTCTCTGAGTAACAGTGGGAGTGAAGGTGTACAACATCAAACAGGTCGCTCCATCCGTCTGTTTTAGTCTCCTGCAGTGCTCAGAGTTGCCTCCTGCCTGCGTTTTGTTTATCCTTTCTCTGACTTTGAGGCTCAGGACAGTTGAGTATGATCTGACTGCAGGTCTACACTGTCCTCTAGTGGTAGGAGACGACACGTGAAGGTCTGAGGATGCAAAATCAGCAATTGTTAGTGTGGGCTTCTGTCAGCATTATTGCTGCTGTCCAGCACCTCATGTCTACAGTATCTGTTTCTGTTTGTCCTTGGGTTGTTCCCGGTCAATGTAAAGTATCTGTGACTGATTTTGGATAGGAGAGATTACAAAACAAGATGCCTCCAATAAGTGAGAGCAAGTGAGACCTTGACACAAAGATTTAGGAGCAGGCAAAGCTTCAGGCTGAAGATGGATAAATGGGAAGTTTCACAGTAGCAGGTGTGTCAGCCTGGGAGCCAGGGAGGAGGGGAGGAGTCGCTCATTCGAAAAATACAGGAAAACTTAATTTCATTCTGTTCAGTGAACCTTGCAAAGTTTTTTATTGCCTCAGTATTGAGATTGTTGTATAAAGATCACAGAGTGAGAAGTAATGTATGATGTACAATGTTTATTGGATGAAGTTAGTTCAGTTTTATGGCTGTTGAGGTGACAGTTAGCTGCACCTACACACAGACAGGGAGCTGTGTGTAGGTGCAGAGAATCCTGTAGTGGTGTCTGTAAAGGCCGATACACCATATTAATGTTACAGCAAGAAGTCAAGACAGTGTGTGTGTGTGTGTGTGTGTGTGTGTGTGTGTGTGTTCTTTCTCATCTTGAAACACTTAAAGGTCCAATGTGTAGGATTGTGTTTTCTTTAGTTGATAATCTGAATCCTAAAATCCGGAAAATAAGAATCATTGCGTTTTCACTACCTTAAAATGATCTGTTTACTGAGCAGGTGCTCTTCCAGGCCAGTGAAGGCCACTGTCAATTTTACTACATGCTTGGAAAGAGTGAGTGGAGGAGTATTCAGCGGGTTGCAATCTACAACCTCACTGCTAGATGTCACTAAATCCTACTTACTGCTCCTTTAAACCTGAACCAATCATTAGAAACTCATGCTGTGCATCCAAGCTTGGTTCAAACTCTCAGAACTTTATTCTATATTCTACAAAGTTTCTACAGTATCTGAACTAAGATGGTGAACATGGTAATCATCACACATGCTTAGACATCAGCATGTTAGCATTGTCATTGTGAACATTTTAGCTTGCCCACGTTAGCATTTGGCTAAAACATTTTACCACCTTATTTAAATTAGCTGATACAGTTGGCCCAACACAGTTCTTAATTTCATTTTGCTTAAAACTAAACTAAATGTATTTATTACTGGCAGGTGCATCATATAAAATATATTGTATTTTAAGACACCTTTTGGTTAATAAATAATATGAAATGAATCTTCACATTTTTTCCATAGATAGTATATCTAAAAACAAAGAATGGACATGTAGATGACACTCTGTATGACCTCTGTCTCTCAGACGTCAGTCATGTGTCACTTCACTCAGCCCTCTCTCGCTGGCTGCTCTCCAAGCAGCTTTGATCCGATGGGTCATACTGGTTCAAAGCCAGGTCAGCAAACTAATTTGTGCACACTAAGTTGCATGGAAAAGTGATTAGAAGTATTTGAGCCTGGTCTGGCCAGTGTTTCATCCATCCATCGTGGTGTTCCCAGTGTGGGCCGCTCTATCTGCCTCTAATCTCTGCTGTGATTGGTTGTTTTCAGGTAATCCACCGTCCAAACCCAATAAAAAGACCATAAAGCAGCGCTTCCTCAAACTTCTCCCCTGCTATCGCTCTGGCTCCAGTTCTTCAACGTCTCAAAGCAAGTGTCACGACACACAGAAAACTGATTAGTGATACTTTTGCTTTTCCTTTCTTTATTTTCACTGCTGTCTTTTTTTCTCTGGGCAAGGCCTTTCATGTACACACTAGTGTATCTTAGGGAGTGATTATTTCATCTCTCTCCATCTCTACATGCAGGAAGTTCAAGTGATGATGCTGAACTGTCAACGGTGTGTTACCGACCGGAGGGGCTCGACCGTCTCGTACAGCAGACCAACTTCAGCAAGAAGGAGCTGCAGGTCCTGTACCGGGGATTCAAAAACGTCAGTCTAAGACAAATAAAAAATATCATTTATATGCATGAGAAAGCCTGTGTGTGTGTGTGTGTGTGTGTGTGTGTTTCACTGAAATCTAAGTTTGTGTTTTTTCATTTCCACAGGAGTGTCCCAGTGGTGTGGTGAATGAAGAGACTTTCAAAAGCATCTACTCCCAGTTCTTCCCTCAGGGAGGTCAGTCAGGTCCTCATTATTCAACTCATGCTTTTGATCTTTATTTAACATGTATTTTGTCAGAATTTCAAATGCATTTTTCTGGTATCAAAATAGTCCTAATAGAAACCAGCAGGAGCTTTTTACGAGGAAAAGATGCGTCTTGCATCGTCGTTGGTTGAGAGTTTGTGGGTCTTTATTCCAGTCAAACGCTACAGGAAAAATTATTTCCCTGTCCCGGTTCCTGCTTTCCTCTTTAAACTGTGCTCATCATCATTAGTGCATCAGTTTTTGCTTATTAGACTGACAGTCTATTGAAGCGGCAGTAGCTCAATCCAAATAAGAGTGTGGACCAGTGGCTGGAGAGGTGCCAGTTCACCTCCTGGGCACTGCAAGACACTCGACCTTCCCCTGCTCGAAGCGCCTGAGGCAGCCCTCTCCTTGACATCTCTCCATTTAATACATGTACAGATCCTGTTTGTGCATGTCTGTGTATTTCAGGCCTGTGTGTGTATGACAACAGGGTGGAAAAAATTGGATTTCCCCTCAGGGATTAATAAAGTATAACATCTTCTTCTGTTGGGTCAAATAAGATCTTTAACTTGTAAAATAAAGTTTAGTTTAATAAGTTTAATAAATAATTTCATAGCCTGTGTATTACTACATAGTAGCCTTTATTAAACCTGTAAAAAATGACATTAAATTAAAGTTTGTGAATGTGGTGAAAAGATTTGCAGTCGTATTAAAAATGTGACCACAGGAAACTGAGCAAAACTCTCCACAGTTTAACTTCAACCCTGCTTTTACAACCAGAAGCAGGCCCAAACGTATAACTTAAATATGTGTTTTTTTTCTTTAATTAAGATATTCTTTAATGTTTCTACAACCGCAATAAATCTTTAAGTTTGCAGACATTAATTTGTCATATAAAGTTTACAAAGGGTGATGTAAAACCACAGGCTGTATGATGGATTCTGAACATCATTTTACAAACTCAAAACCTCTCTGACTCTTATCTGAATCCAGGATTTGAATGGTCACTTTATTTTCCTCTGTCCTCCAGATTCAAGTATGTACGCTCATTTCCTGTTTGAAGCTTTTGACACCCATAACAACGGATCCGTCAGCTTTGAGGTGACTTTTCCATCTCTTCACTCTCTGCTGTCCAGACAAATGTTTATTTCCTCCATGATTTTCTTCACTTCTGTGTTTTTCTCCTTTATGCTCAGGCAGCTCTGTGCTTTTAAAACAGACAGCACAAAGACTCTGTCCTTCAAGGAAATAACTCTCTCTAAGATATTTTATGTATTTAAATACTTAAGGACGCATAAAGTATACATATAAATACATTTTTCATATGGCCAGCACACAAACACAAGGTTGAATTAAAAAAGAATCTTTCTCTTAAAAACACTTAAGTATATAACTCATTGACTGTCTTTATTTTACAGAAATCAAAACTTACAGAGACCAAGAAAAGTCTCATCTTTGTAAGCACATAGTTTGTGTCTGTTGCTGACAGTACCACATTAGATCTCAGAAAAGAAAAGCACTAAAACATATAATATTGGCTCAGTACTTGCAAACCACTGAAGATACAGTATTTCTCTTTCTTCTTTTACTTCCCCATTCTTCTTGCTTTCATCTTTTGACTGACTCTGTCAGATGTGACGTTCACTTTCCTGATCTCACTCATGGCTCACTTTTCTTTCTCTTGCTGTAGGACTTTGTTGTAAGTCTGTCCATCATCTTGAGAGGCTCCATCACTGATAAACTCAACTGGGCCTTCAATCTGTACGATCTCAACAAAGACGGCTGCATCACCAGAGAGGTACTTCAACCATTCTCTCATCTCTCTGCCTGCTGTTATGTCAGCAGCTCTGATTTGATTTGTTATTTCCTCCCGTCTGTCTGTCCAGGAGATGACAGACATCATGCGCTCCATCTATGACATGATGGGGAAGTATACCTACCCCTGCATGAGGGACAACGCTCCCAAGGAGCATGTTGACAACTTCTTCCAGGTACAACACACTAATCATCAAACCAATACACCACACATCTCCCAACACTGAACTCAAACTGAGGCAAAGAATCTGTCCAAAACAACAAATGCTCCATCTATGTTTGATTTGATTTGCTTTTGCATGGTTTGATTTAAAAATTGTTTTATATCTTACCAGAACTCAGTTGAAGCATTTCACATCAGTCCCCCACAGAGTATTGGTACATCATGTTTTGTGTACTATTCATTATGCATGACAACAGGCAGTGCTGTCCACTTAACCAGAGGACAGGGAAAGACTTTAGGTCGATGTTTTATGAACAGGTCCCTGATTGAGTTATATCTCTATGCAGTAATCTCTACTGCTGCCAGTTTCAGGCTGCACCACTGATCAATGCCAGAAATGTTTCATATGGGTGGGCAAATATATTCTCATCCCATCCATCTTGACGGTTGCGGGGGGGCTGGAGCCTATCCCAGCCGACACTGGGCGAGAGGCAGACTATCACAGGGCTGACACATAGAGACAGACAACCATTCACACTCACATTCACACCTACGAACAACTTAGAGTCACCAACTAACCTGCATGTCTTTGGACTGTGGGAGGAAGCTGGAGCACCCGGAGAAAACCCACGCTGATACTGGGAGAACATGTAAACTCCGCACAGAAGGGCTCCCCCACCCGGGATTCGAAACAGGAACCTTCTCGCCTTGAGGCAACAGTGCTAACCACTGTGCCCAACTCATTAAATACCGCTGCTCTACCAGTGGACATACACATCAAAATGTGACATGCTTCATCTGTTTTGGAGTTCAATAGTGGCGTGTCAAGATATGCTTGTTACTTGTAAACTTCCATTTTCACAGGAAATGTACAGTGTCTACTCGTTAAATGCATAAAGTCTTTTTCAAAATAAACTTACAAAGTAGGTAAAACTAGGCAACTAAAGCATGTGGTTAGGTTAAGAAAAAAACATAATGGTTTGGCTTAACATTGAGACAGAAAACGAGAAAAAGAGCTGACTCCAGGTTGAAAGTCTGGAGTTTCTTTGACCCATCCACCACCTCTCTTCCCCTCCGTATACAGACTTTGTTGCCATTATGTACTGCTCATACCACCATGTAGGTTGGCTCTCTTTGTATGTGTCTGACACTGATGTCCACTAACAAAGCACTAGTATTTGATGACTTGGGGTGTGTCCCGCTGTCTCTAAAACTGATGTGTGTTATAATGGCACAAAAGATGCCTCTGTGCATCGGTCTCTGACATTGAGACCACTGACGAAGTGGCAGTATTTGACAAGTTGGGGGTGAGAACGGACTTTTAATCATCTGTGCTTGTGTTGCATTTTTCAGAAAATGGACAGGAACAATGACGGAGTGGTCACCATCGAGGAGTTCTTAGAGACATGCCAAAAGGTCTCCTCATCCAACGATTTCAACCATTTCAAATGCTCAACAAAACCTCCATTTCCATCTGCAGCTTTCTCAGTAGTTTAACTGTTTCGTCTTGTTTCTCCATCCAGGACGAGAGCATCATGCAGTCCATGCACATGTTTGACCATGTGATCTAAAGCTTGAGAAATATAAGATTTTTCCTGCTGCCTGGAGCTCGTCTAAAGTTCTTCAGCCCCCAGCCAGAGTGGACGGAGTTTCTGGGCCCTAAATAGAGTGGTGCAGGGTGCAAACAACAGCGACCTGAGGATATCTTCCCCCAAACCACCTTTTCTTGTGAAATGTCTTTTTATTTAAGGTGTATAGGGAGACAGCAAAGGTGGATTTTGGTGTTTTAAGAGCTTGTATCACGATTGAAAGATTTGTGCGGACCACTTTGAACAAGAAATGTTTAATGCTGCGGAAAAGCAGCTCAATAACAACAAGCATTGATGGCTCAAAAACAGCAGATACAGTAGGCGACAGTCGTGGCCTCTTCGCTCACACAAATGATGACTATTAACTTATCATATTTTCTCTATTGCATGAATGAATGTGCAGACACATGGAACTAATTGAACAATGCTCAAAGTGTTGTAGAGTACCACTCACTGTCTATACTCACAGTAATCCTAAGGCGGCTCTAATAACGGGATGAAAATCAAGCAATAATCTTAAAGTAACATGTTATGAAATATGTCCTCAGTGTTGTCATGGGGCTCACCACTCACATTTACTGTAATACTGTATATTGTGTCTGCATGATGTGTCTGTATCGCCTGGCCATTGAAATGTTTAATTAAAGTGTTGATATATTTTCTATATGGACATGGTTACAATGATAATTATGAAGAAGTTGAATAAAACTACACAGTTGCTATGCAGAAGTGCATCTTTTTTTTAGTATTACTATTATTGACGAGTTGGAATATCACAGCTACTAATACCACAGCCCTCCTTGACTTAATGTCATTACAGGTTTTACAGTCACAGGTTCAGAGGTCATCTTCACCATTTTCATAGTTTTTTTCTTTTGCAAAATTTCTAGTGTTGGATACATAATGAGAGGAGACTCGGGAGCATGAAGACATTTTGGCTTCTATTAGAAAAAAATAAACACCAATTTGACTTTTAGACAAAGCAAAATCACTACAAAAACAATAAAGAAAATATGACCAAGTCATAAACATAGTGAGCGAGAGAAAGAAGAAGAAAACGGCAACAAGACAGATCTTAAAATTGGAGGTCCAGCAGTCTCTATAACCTGCCCAACATGGCAAGAGCAATAGCACAAAAACACATCATCTTTGCAGGAGAGACAAACACTTACATCCTCCTGAGACCAGTGTCCTCATATGAGGACATCACATTTTGGGTTTACTTTTTGTGCCATCTAGTGGTAGTAGGAGCACAATACACTAATCCATGTAAAAACAAGATGGCAGCCATCTCTGCCAAGTCAGTCTGCAGCTGATCCTGACACAAAAGTGGACAAGGTCCAAAACCTGATCACAGCTGCTTCAGAGACGGACTAACTGTGAACGTCATGGATCAAATCTACAGGATGTTTGAGCCAGTAGTTTATTCTTACATAGTATACTTACTATATACTTTTTATATGTATGTATGTGCTGCACTCTTGAAAATAAAACACTGAACTAAATATACAGCTTTTAATTATTAGGTTTTAATGATTTTAACTTTTTTCAATACATTTTTATTATTCTGACTCTTCTGTTTGTTTACATTCACTTATATATTTGATCATGTACCATCATTTTTGTCTAATTTTATTGTCTATTTGCCTTTGTTTTTACAGTAAAGCACTTTGAGCTACATCTCCTGTATGAGAAGTGCTCTATAAATAGAGTTTACTATAGTTAATATAATTAATTCCTGACTGTTGTTTGGGAGAAAAAGAGATGACTAAATGTTTTTTAAAAATGTATTGCATAGGTACTGTGCAGCATTAAGACTTTCCAGAATCAAACTGATGAATGTAAATAATGCTGGACTGTAAGCAGACCAAAAGCAGGGGTTTATTATGGGATAGATCCCAAACAAACATATCAGAATGTGCATTTTCATTGTGGCTGTAACTATAGTTTCCAGTATGATTGTAATGAATTGGAAAACAGGTAAATCATTTCAAACATGGACACCATACTGTTTAATATATCCTTTATTTTTATTAAACAAAATTTCAGTAAAAACTCTTATTAAGTAGAAAGACAAAATTCCCTGTCAGTAGTTTGCTCCAGCTGTAGGGCCGTCCCCGTTAACTAAATCATCATGTCATGACTAATTAATCAATCAGTTGAAAACATCTGCAAAGAGTATCCATGTCATTGTTGTTCTCATACAGTCACACAGGATATTTCCTTTCAATTCAGTTTATAACAAAAGACATCTTTGTTAATATAATGCAGATAATGTGAACCTTTCCCAGTGAATAATTTACAAAAGATGAGAAACATTTCCTAAAAACAAACAAGCATCTTGTTTACCTACAGCTGATTACATAAGAGAGGGGGGGGCAGCCCTACACTGCTCTCTCTCTCTGAGGTCTGTCAAAGACCTCCACATCTCCTCATTTGTTCACTCCTACTGAATTAGTGCCACGAGAAAGATCGAGCCCGCGTGAACTAACTCTTAACTGTTGGGTCACAGCGGGAGAAAGTTGACAGTATATAGTGTCAAAACTACAGCGTAGACAGCAGTGTCTGTTACAAAGGCGTTAAGAAAGAAACAGAGCGGTGAGCAGGTGCGCCGTGCACGTTGAGCCACCTCTGGCAGTGTTTTCAACTATTACTCTCCTTTTTTTTTTCCTTTTTCTTTAAAAAACAAAAAAAAGAAAAGGAAAAAAAGAAGGAAGCTACACGATTATCATCACAAAATAAAATCTCTTTGGCATAGAATACCCACCCGAAAGCATAAAACACACACAGACACACTCACAGACGTTCACATGCACACACACACACACACACACACACACACACACACACACACACGCACACTCTTAAAAGGTTCTCTAACAGAAACCTACAAGCATCGTCATCGTTATAATCAGCAAAATTATGCTATAAAACAAAGTTGAGCCCTATTAAGATTATGAGTCCCGTACTCAGTGATAATTGCATATATTACATCAGGCTGAAAGCAGAGGGAATAATCTCTGCTGACCACTATATTCTCTTCTTTGTCCTTGTACATCCCATGTCAGCTCCTCTGTGTCTTTTCTACCCTCCTCTCTCCTCTGGGTCTGTGAGAGGAAAAAAGACACAATGAGGAAAAAGATCCACAAAGCCGATTTTACCACAGACAGATTGTTTTAAAGTTATTATGTTGTAGAGAAGAAACCTCAGAGACCTTTTTTGAAATCACATATATGCCATTGTCTGCCCAAACAACGGCAAAAAAAAGTCATTTTAAGGTATTTTAAATTGTACTTTAGAGTTCATAGTTTCCTAGAAAACACTAAAAAAAATGTTGATAACTCATCCTGCGTTCGGTGGGTGGGGGCATTACTAATTGTGTATCCCATAGAAGGCTTCTTGAATTGTTATGTCCCTCCCTCATGACCAACTGGAGCAGTGCCCAGGACCTACAAGCTAACTACCAGTTATCAGTTATGGAGCGATGATGACCTGACACTGATCAGTACTTGTGTACCTCGCACCCACAGGTCATGACTGGATTACTTAGCAGGCCACCAGACACAGGCTCAGAGGCCCAAAGTGTCAGTGCTCCCTGTCACTTGTGACAGCCCTGTTGCCTTCCTGTTTGGGCTGTCTTTCCCTTTAAAGAGGGAAGCAGGAAGTGCATCATTGATTAACTCATACCATGTGTGCTGCTGGTTTGTTGTCTACTTCAGGTGTTTTCTTTTGTGTTTAATTTCTTTGTTCATTGCACTTCACTACACACTCAAACAACACGCAAAACACTACTGATAGAACTGATTTACATACTTTATAATGCATTGGGTAAACTTGTGTTTTGTTAAATGAATGTTAAGTTAAAAGTCATGTGCTCCTCTTTGTTCTTCCCTTGAGTCCAGCTGTGACACACTGAAGGAGACATGTGCCAGCCAGGAAGAGACTCAAATAGACCTCAAAGAACCAAAACAACTACAAAGAGGCACAAATGACCCCAAAGCCATGCAAAGCGACTATAGAGAGACTCATAAAGTGACTCAAAATTATCACAAAGAGGCGCGAAATAACAACAAAAAGAAGCCAAACAGCTGTGTAATCTGTGAGTCTTGCTCCTGTGTAGGAGAGGTGGTGGGGCCCTCTGCATGTCTGTGCCCAGGGGCCCACTGTCTCATAATCCGCCCATGTCTCCGCTCAGAACAGATTTGCAACAGATTCTTTAAACATTAAAATTATATACGAATTCATACATATTTATTTATTGATTAAGTTCAGTCTAGTTGTATATTTTATTTCATGAATATAAATATATAGAATATAAGTTTTCTTGGGAGTTAGACTGTAGACATCCAGTGGTGTTTGGCTGAGGTTTGTATTTACTGACCGTTAATACTCATTGTACGCTTGTCTGTCGTAGGCCATGCTGCCGCCATACTCGTCCTGCATCATAACTCCGTCCATGGCTTCCATGGGCATGTCAACAGGATATGCGCTGTAGCCAACCATACCAGCATCCAGCTCTGCAACAGATGACAACATTTGTTTTTTATACATGTTACACACTGGACCATTTGTCATTTACTTCCCCTTGTACTTGAAGGGTTCAGTTACTGCTGCTGTCATGATAGTGGCAACAGCAGCACAGAAAATTAAACAAGCTGGTGGAAATAATTTAACATTTCAGGCACATTTTTGGACCGCAGAGATCTTGGAGAGCGGAGACGCCGTGTCTCTCTGCTCTGAAAGGAGACAAAACATACCAAGGCCATACAAGGAGAAAAGAAGGAGAAAAGTCAAGGACAGGAATTAAGGGAAGGATGCAAACACAGATAAGGAAACACCAGGAGGGAGATAGACGTGGAGAAAACCTTTTAGACTTGGATAAGTAGTAGATATGTAGACAGCAAAGAAAAGGCAAAGGCGGAAGTGAATGAGATAACAGCACAATGTGACTCGACCATAAGCAATACTTGGGGAACGAAAGACACTGATGACTAGAAAATGTCACATTTGTGACTGATTTTTTAAAGAAGATATGAAAAGAATTAAGTCCATTAAAATCAACAAAGGCTATGGCTCCAGTTATGTATACTGAATCACCACAGAATCCTTTTTAAACTTAAAATACAATGTATTCTGCTACCAAAAGATGATAGTAAATGGAATCTGTGGGCAGATTACAGCATGTTCACTCCCAGTGCTGGAGTGACCCGGTGCTGAGGAATGTGCTGTATGTGCACATTACAGACACAGTTACTCACCATCTGGATATGGTCCATCCATGGGGACACTGTTATGGGCCTGCAGAGTTGATGAGAGGACAAAGGTCAAATGAAGTCAACACTTTTATTAATAGTTCTCATTAAATATTACCACACAACATCATTAAATACTTTAAATAAGTCAATTATGGCATTACACGGTCTGTTATTTCTGAATACCAGGCCGCTGCTATGACTAACAGAACATTGCTATGGATGAGGTCCTGACCAAGGAGGCTAAGTGGAAGCATTTAAGTAATTATAACCCAATAAAATCATTTTTAATTAAATATTTTGTGTCAAATTTCTTTGGGAAGTAGCCATGGAATTAGTGGGATGATGTATGGCAACCAGGTCTTTATTCAGGGTTCTCACGCATTTTCATGGACTTTTCAAAGACACATAATAAAATTTCCATGATCAGTCACAGTTTGGCCAGTAATGCGATCAGGACTGTAT